TTATTATCCCACAGGACAAGAACGCCAAGTTTGCTACCCTTTGTCAGTTTATTCTCCAAAACCACACATGACACAGTGTATAACAAGCATGTAAAACACAGAATACACATTTTTTGAATAACCAGAATGTAATGGTAATTTGAGACCACGTGTCGACATGTACATTTCCAATTGCCTCTTACAGTAAAAGAAAAGCTTCATGTAATGGAGAAAATCAAAGTACTAGGAGTCTACATTGACGAGAATCTCAACTTTGCAGGCACATAGCCAGCATTTTTTCAGGGCGGGCAATTCATCAAGGATACAGACCAAATAAGGCCAGAGGTGCAACTCTCTAGGAGTAAAATTGTATTGTCAGAGACTGCATCAAGAATATGGATATTTCTCAATTTTTTTGAACTTCCCCGTGATTCGTTTCGCTTTTTTCAGTTTTTTTTTCCACAAAGACTACTTACTTTTACAATGTTTCAAAATAAAAGATGTCAATGTCACTAAATAGAACGAAAAAGCAATTTCATATCTTAGCATAGTACAAATGTAATTAAAAAACCTGTCATGGAATGATAACATTGAACACATTTGCAGTAAGATCAATAAGAATCTAGGTCTCCCGAGACTGATTAAAGCTTATTTACCTCTTAGCACTAGGTTGACCTTTTTCACTGGCTTTAGTTTACCACATTTTGATTAGCGAAACATCATTTTCGGTGACCGAGGAAACTCGACATTACCAAGTGCTGCAGAATTAAGCTGCCCATATTATTTTAGATCTCCCTTTACACCCATCTTCTAGTGACACTGTAACAAAATTACATTGGGAACCACTTAAATGCGCAGAAGAGCTGTGCACCGCACTATTTTTTGTTTAAAAATCAATAATATCTTTTCTCATGTCTCTAAATTAAGTTCTAATCGCGATTTGCATTACTATAATACCCGATCTTGGAATAATGTTATGAAAACCACAGCCAAAAGAAGGTGGGGCCATTGGACCACTAACACCTTTGCTGCAAATGAGTGGAATTCCCTTGATCTGTCACTTAGGGAAGCCGCCTCTTTATCCAGTTTTAAACGAAACCCTTCCACAGTGACTCTAAAAGTACCTGTTAATAAGTAAATCCTTACTACCTACTTGTATGTCAGTAAGTGTATGATTTTAGACTTTTAGTTTTATATTTATCGACGTACATCTCATTTTTTAGAACTCTTATCATTTTTTAAACTTGTATCATGTAAATTTTGAAACTTTAATCTTGAACATAATAGTTTCTATTAATGATATTAGTGAACCAGGACCCTGTAAATCACTGGTTTAAATGAAGCTGGCATCCTCAATAAAGATTATCATCATTCACTCCAGCAAAGAATTGTGGATTTTGTTTTCAAGGTCATCATTTATGGATCATCAGTGGCAGTAAGTCACTTCTTAAGGCCTCTGTTTCTACAATAGAATTGGTGATTTTAAACAGAGCCTCAAAAAAGCAGTTGGAAATTTTCAGCCTTTACAAACTAAAGAAAATGTCCATTGGGATTTCTTAGCATTTTGGTATAGTGAGGAAGGATAAGTAACCGAAAAACCTCCTTGTTAATTTTCAGGAACTTATTGGGTTTCCCATTTGGGACAGATCTTTTAGGAGAGGAAGGAGAAAGCGGTACCACCGTATGGGAGACAGTTTTGGAGACACATGGTGAGTATCTTCCTGTAAACCAGTGTCTCCAAGATGATGCAAAGTCTGAAAACGAAGCCGTGATTGTTGCCCTTAAAAAATTCCGCAATAATTGTATTATTTTTAAAAAACTTTCAAAACTTGTTTAAGAATGCTTCAGAGCTGATGAATCTAAAGATTTCGAATGTCTGAAAAAAGTGTATAACAAGCATGTACAACACAGAATATACATTTTTGAATGTACTGGTAATTTGAGACCAAGTGTACGTCATGTACATTTGCAATTGCCTCTTACAATAAAAAAAAAGCTTCATGTAACAGAGCAATTAAATCAAATTACTAGGAGTCTACATTGACGAGAATCTAGATTATACGGACCGTTACAGTGTGGGTGTATTTGACAACCCTTCGAATTCTCTGCATAGGGCTTGCTTTTCTTGCTTCCATCCTCTGTTGTTGGGCTAAAAAAGATTGATTCTCGAAATGATTCAAATAGAAAATCTTTATGTGCAGAAGGAGGAGGCTGTCTTTTCTTTGGGAGGGTCAGACCAATACTAGAGAAGTAGCTGCAAAACTTATTTGCTACTTCCACTAAAACAGAAATCTCCTGATTGTCCGACTTAGATATTGTATTTAATTGAGACCGTGGCTATTTCTATGCAAGACTTTGTTTAAAATTTTCCAGGTTGCATGTGTATTTGATCTTGCATTTTCCAATTCTTGTCATAATTCCGACGCTTAGCCAAACACAAGGTGTGATTCAATTTGTTCTTGTATCTTTTGTAGAGTGAAACACCATCGACTGTTGAAACTTGAAGATATTTTTGGTAGAGTTGATTCTTTATTTTAATGGATTTAAGAAGAGCTTTAGTTAACCACGTTTTTTAAAGCGCCTCTGCTTTCTAGTCGCCTTCTTGAGAGGGAAGCAATCGTTATAAATCTTTGTATACATTTGATGAAACCGTTTGTACGTAATATCTGGCTCATCAGAAGCTTTAATCGCGAACCAATCAAAATCTTCCACTTTTTCAACATAAGTAGGAATATTTATTCGATTCTTATCTTTGAAAAAGAATGGATCTTGTCCACATCGATTTACCAACTCGAACAGCTATCCACGTTCCACGTGTTCCGGGGTGTGGTGGTACGTTTCGCAACGTGATGCTTATCAACGCTTGTCCAGTTGACAATTTCCTTACTATTGTGTATACTCGGTTGAAAGATGTCCCACAGACCTCTACAAAGCTGTCACTAATACAAGAATCATGGGCCAAGGATTTGGTGCCCATAGAGAAAATGTTCGACAAGCGGGAGTTTTCTCAGGGTAAGATAGAGTGGTTGCGCCCTTTTCCGCAGTTCGACTTCAGTGGAGCTAGCGACACTGTCGACGTTTGGGGAAATGAATGCATTCTTTTCTGGCAACATTGAGCACCGATGTTAAAGAGTGCAGCTAAATCAACTTGCTCATCTCAGCAGTGCCCTTAGAAGGAAGAACTTCTGACAGGAACTGGAATCCATCTAATGGAGATTTCCTCCGGAGCATTGGCAGAAACGTACCTTGAGGTAGCTATAAGAAAATGGCAACTCCCAGCTCCTACCCAGTGCGGAAAAGAATTTGCTAGACAGCCACCTCCCAATGCTGATGCCATTCTGGGACCACCACACCTCGACGTCTCATCTGGGCGTTTGCCCCAGCTGTTTCTTTGCAACGGAGTACGCAACTTCAACTGGAGAACATTTGTCCCTGAAATACCATTTGCTGTACCCATTTCATTGCACTACTTTGCGTCCAATGGCCCAGTTACAGAACCATATCAACTACCGGACACGTTGGTTGTACAAAACAAACAGTACCAGCTGGGTGGATGTACATTCTAGAATGGTCTACACCACACTGGTTGTTTCAGGTTCCAGTTGCAGTGGTTTTACTATGATGGCCTTCCTGAGACCCGATACAAAGGTTCTGGTGTTCTGGCTAATCCACTCAAATCGATGAGATCACGCAGTTATGTGCTTTCATCATGCATATACTTCGAAAATTATTCACCTAAAGGTTGGGCCTTAATTGTTAATATTTATATACAATGCCTATCATAGCCATGCCTTTTCTAAGTGCGATGTCTTCACATGAAAATCATTTAATTGGTCATACTATTTCCTAGGAGAGTTGAAATTGAACTAATCTTATGTGTGACATATGTCAGAAGTGTTTTCCCCTTCTCTCCAAGCCAGATAAGGAATGGACTCTGTTATCAGTTTTCTTAGGGTTCTCAGTAAATTAACTGCAGATCCAATTCACTAAATGTTCACAGTTCAGAGTTTTCTACAGGTGCTTTTATGTTGGGTGTGTCGTCACCTAATTAAAAGCCAGTGATCGGGTGAGTCACCTCCATCTAGTGCAAGTCTGATTTTTGGTTGGAGTGCTAACTACTGTCCCATTTTATAATAGTCGTTACATGTTTAGCTCAATTCTTTGTTGTAAAATGTTGGTTATCAAACCACGACTAAAGTTTGTCTACATGTGCTTTTCTGGGTGTGTCTCCTGGACAAAGCAAGCAATCAGGTGAGTCACCTTCGCTCTGTTCAAGGAAACTCGGTATGCTTTATGCTAGGTGTGAGTAATATTTCAATTTTGTACCGTATAAATGCCAAACATTCTAACAGCATTTTAATAACACTGGTGGAGAAAAAAAAACATGCGCCATTTGAAAAACAAAGCCTTTGCAATACTTGGTGAAGCAGATTTCGAGCTCCACAAGTGTAGGCATTTGAACAAACCAGCTCTAGAATCCAAAGCAAGTAGACAGCAAGAAGATGTAGAGCAAAGTTATGCAAAGGAACAAATTGGTGTTAAACCTGATGAGACCAGGACGCTTGAGCTACCTTGAAACAAACTCAAGAACATGATGACAATAAGCTTTCCAGGAGGACCCCTTCAAGTAACAAAGTCAGAAACTTTTCCATTCATTGCATCATGAGGACTGTATAGCTGGATGTATGTGACCAGCGCATACAATGGGACTTGCGATTACCCAAAAAATTAACACAAGAATAAACAAGTATGGTACAAGTTTCGTGCAGCCTAGCCCTATTTTGCATTCTGAGACACCAGCGGTGCAGGGCTAGCCTGTGAACAGCAGAGGCACTTCCGGTCGTCGCTTCTCTCCCTCCGAAAAATAGCGTCTGCAAACTCGAGCTGCAAAACGATTTCCGTGACATCATTTCTTTTCTTCATTACTCAACCAATGAAATTGAGTGATAGAAAGATGTTACTGAAGACAAGCAGGAAATCACGAAGACCGACAACTGCTTCAGAAGCGGCATTATGCACCCATGAATGGGGAAACGTCGAAAAAAGTTACCTCAGCCGCACGAGATTGTTGTTTGTGTAAGGATAAAATTCCCAGTCTTAAGGAGAAAGTGAAGATCTTTCGCAAGAGTGAATTGCAGATTGGTGCGTTAATTCATCGCTCACTTGGAGTCGATTTGGGTGTTTACACCGGCAGCGAGAACCTCGCGATATGTTCCTTGTGTTATAACATGTTGAATGCCTACAACAAGGCCTTAAAAAAGTCAACCAGATCGTTGATGGCGTCAAGCAGAAATTTGAAAGTAACGGACCTCTCCGTATCAAAAGATTATCGAACTCCAACCCGTCGGCTGAAATTTCATGGGGACCACCATAACCAGCAAGCTATAAGCCTCCAGATAATGTTTGTGTGTCTGCTTTTACAAAGCTTCCGCCAGTTTTTGGTTTTGGTGCCATTAGCCCAATCGCTCGACTCTCGATTTTTTGAGCACCAAATTGTGTAGAGTCATCGGGAATTTTTGGTCCTATGTCGTCCTCAACACCAAAGACGCCGCGCGAGATTTCAGAACGATCGATCACCGAAACGAAAGTATATCTTTCCGTTGAATATCCCAGCCAAACTGTGCAAAAGGAATTAAACGATGACCTTGCAGTTCTTGGAAAGGCGATTGCCTCCGGTTTCGAACAGCGCATTGCCAAAGCAATACTGAAGAAGGTTAATTTTAAGAAAATTGTCGTGGAAAAAGTTCTCCAGCTAATGACGTCGCAAATTAATGGTATCTGTAGCAGAAAATAACCTTCCATGTTAAGAGCCAACACAAAGGAAGAGATTGTAAACTTCGATTTCGAGAAACTGTGTTTTGAATGGAAAGAAAGAGCGCCTATCTTCTATGCCTTTCTAATGACATGTGCTACAACTACTCGAAACGAGATTGCTCAGAATGGCTTCCTAGCATAGCAGTGGCAGGGTTGATCCTGTTAAAGCAGCGAAACTCACACATGAATGGCTGTGCAACAGTTCTTGGAATTCTTATCAAATCACGATCTTTGGAGTAAGACAAGTCATAGATTATTTTACATCTACAAGGGCTTTTGAAAGTCGAGTTAAAACTAACTTAATTGTTTAATATTAGTTAAATCATCTGTAAAAGTGTTTCATACAGACATTTATCAGTTACACATTAGATTTTGTTTGAATCAAGGGTTACGGAAGGTGAATTCTTTGTTTTATGGGTATCAGTGTGAAGAGGGGTCTTGGCATTGTTATTATTAATTATTCATGAAATATTAATACTTCTTAATACTTGTAGATTTTTTAGAACAAACAATATAATCAAAATTTTGATCTCTTGCTCTTTTGTTACAAGGCAACCTTTTGCAGATTATCCAAGATGAAGGTCACCTGTTCAGCCGCAAAAATTCGTGCAAAATTTGATGTGTTAGGTGAAAATCATGGTCCGGAAATTCTGGACTTACAAAAGAAAATGTCCAATGAGGAGGAAATTGTACTGGATCACACAAGGAAGGTAGTGGCAATTACTCACAGTTGCAGTTCACATGAACATCCATGTACCCAGCAGTGTGCTGATGATGCTACAAAAGACAAATGTGAACTACAACAAGCTAAGAAGAACATGCATCCTGGTTTTGCTATTGTGTTTGATAATATTGATGGAAAGCGTGAGTGCTGGCATATGACCAAGGACAACCAAAACTTTGATTTTCATAATGTGAACTACAACAAGCTAAGAAGAACATGCATCCTGGTTTTGCTATTGTGTTTGATAATATTGATGGAAAGCGTGAGTGCTGGCATATGCCCAAGGACAACCAAAACTTTGATTTTTATTGGGTCAACCACAAGATAATAATGAACAAATATACATATTACAAAAACAATCGTTCTTTATTTACACAACGCATTTTAAAAACTAAAAGAGGGTATATGTAACATTGTTACAGACTGGACATTAAATAACATTAAGAATAGAAAAACATTAACTGTAATAATTCACACAATTTAGACCCGTTGTTTAACAGACTATTCCGTAAGTTGGAGTCCTTACAAATTCATCTCAAGATAAATTTTAAGGTTCCAACTTTATTAATGTACAAGAAATATAAAAATACAAAACATACATAGCGTGTTTAAACTGAAAAATCTAGGGTATATACCAAAAAATATATAATTGGCAAACAGTTTAATTTTGTTTGCAGTATAAACAACAATTACAAGCCTCCCGCGCACTTTGTTTTTTGAAATGGCTTAAAAGAATTTTGATATATCATCTAATGGAGATTTCCTCCCAAGCATTGGCAGAAACGTACCTCGAGGCAGCCATAAGAGAATGGCAACTCCCAGCTCCTACCCAGTGCGGAAAAGAATTTGCTACACAGCCACTTCCTAATGACGATGCCATTCTGGGACCACCACACCCCGACATCTCATCTGAGCGTTTGTCCCAGCTGTTTGTTTGCAACGGAGTAGGCAACTTCAACCAGAGAACATTTGTCCCTGAAATACCATTTGCTGTACCCATTTCATTGCACTACTTTGCGTCCCATGGCCCAGTTACAAAACCAGACACGTTAGTTGTACAAAACAAACGGTACCAGCTGGGTGGATGTACATTCTAGAATGGTCTACACCACACTGGTTGTTTCAGGTTCCAGTTGCAGCGGTTTTACTATGATGGCCTTCCTGAGAGCCGATACAAAGGATCTGGTGTTCTGGCTAATACACTCACATCGATGAGATCACGCAGTTATGTGCTTTCATCATGCATATACTTCGAAAATTATTCACCTAAAGGTTGGGCCTTAATTGTTAATATTTATATACAATGCCTATCATAGCCATGCCTTTTCTAAGTGCAATGTCTTCACATGAAAATCATTTAATTGGTCATACTATTTCCTAGGCGAGTTGAAATTGAACTAATCTTATGTGTGACATATGTCAGAAGTGTTTTCCCCTTCTCTCCAGGCGAGATTAGGAATGGACTTTGTTATCAGTTTTCTTAGGGTTCTCAGTAAATTAACTGCAGATCCAATTCACTAAATGTTCATGGTTCAGAGTTTTCTGCAAGTGCTTTTATGTTGGGTGTGTCGTCACCTGATTAAAAGCCAGTGATCCGGTGAGTCACCTTCGTCTAGTGCAAGTCTGATTTTTGGTTGGAGTGCTAGCTATTGTCCCATTTTATAATAGTCGTTACATGTTTAGCTCAATTCTTTGTTGTAAAATGCTGGTTATCAAACCACGACCAAACTTTGTCTGCACGTGCTTTTCTGGGTGTGTCGCCTGGACAAAGCAAGCAATCGAGCGAGTCACCTTCGCTCTGTTCAAGGAAACTCCGTATGCGTAGTATGTGTAGGTGATGCAACAACATTCAGCACGTGCTTTTCTGGGTGTATTGCCTCATAAGGGCAAGCAATCGGGAGAGTCGCCTTCTCTTAGCGTATGAATAAATCAGGCAAGAAAACTACTTCCATAGTAACATGCTTATCAACTACTTACCAGTGAGGACGTTTTAATTTTGTATCATTTACTTTTACTAACGTACGTCTTTTTTAACAGGTTCCGGCAGAGGATTTTACCAGCCCTTCATTAACGCGGAGATTGTCCTCCCTTTCCAAAATTTCAGTTTTGTCCTTAATTTTCTTCCCAAAAAGAACAAATTTAAATTAACACCTTCCCCAGGGGATACTCCCTATAATAGCCTATGCTGGGAGCTCCGCCCAAAAGGGGTACCATTTTCAGGGATCTCATTATTTGAATAGCAATATTTGTAATTCCGTCTGTAAAAAGTACCTAAAAGGGCTAACAGACGCACTCTGTGGCTAGGAAAAAGCGTAAAAGACTACCTGGTTTAGCGAATTACGCAACTTATTGAGTAGCCCTCTCCTGGGTACACACCGTAACAAAGTTCTCAGTATTTCCCCAATATATAAAGTTTGGTTTCAGTTATGAAATTAGCGAAAATTAAGCATTTTCTTTGCCCTCATACATAAAAACGGGATCATATCTCTAAATGAAATCAAGTCACAAAGCAAACACAGACTTGTACTTTATAATTCAGCAATTATCTTTAGATACGCTGTTTAAATGTGACCGTGTCGGCCACAAGAAGAAACACGACTTCGGCTCTTTTAAAAAATGGCAAATTTGACCTAAATTCATCATTGAAAAAAACAATTGATATGTGGAATTTCAACATGAAACATTTTACAGCACATCCTTTGCTGTTTCTTGTGTTAAAAAAGATTTGGCGGCATGACAAAACTACGTCACTGAGACACCGAAACGTGCAGGGTAGTTTCGCAAGTTGGAATGCTGAAACAAGCCGCGAGTATAGGCACAAAAGTTTTTGCAAACTTAGCTTCTTTTACAAGGGGCACATTACGAGAAGCTCTTAAAATCTTATGAAAAAGGCTTTTCCATGTGATGGTTATAAAAAAGAACTAAGTAGATTAACAATGCATTTGATTGCACGCAAGTAGCTGAAAAAGATGCTGTTAAATTCTCACTGAGTGTAAACATTGACCTCGAGTTTCTGCACCTAAAATAAAGCCGGTAGAAACGGCGTGCTAGCTCTAAATGGGATTCGAGATCTCTAGGAATTTTACAACAGTCGTTTCAACTACAAGTGGCCACAGTTTACTGAAATCTTCCATCGTTTAGCCTCGGACTAAACACTGTGTTGCGTGATGAAAGCCCGTGTGTGATTTGAGTCTGGTCACGCAACTGTACAGACGAGGATAAATCATCACACGAGTGTACAGGAAAAAACAAAATAACACTTTTTTTTTAGTTTTAAATTTTATATTCTCCAAAACATGTGGAACTAAACTTGATTTTAGGATGTACCAGCCGAAACTCAAATAGAGAAACAAAACAAATAGAGTAAGCTGAGTCTGCAAAACTTTTCACACTAGTTTTCTTTATATCATCTATCGTATTAGCAGTTGCATTTATCATATCCCTTGGAGTTAATCTTTACCAATGGCGTTCTCTGGGAATTTCCAAAACAGGTACGAAATACACTGAAGTGGAAGCTCACTAAAATGAAGAGGATTTGTAGCATTTTTGTGAATAATGAGTGGCATTTTTAGTTTGTTTACAATTATGGTATCCGGCATGGGTACTAAGTAATATTAATAACCAGGCCTCAAGTGAAATATCACAAATAGTAAAATGAGAATGATTATAAAATAAATTTACTCACATTAAACCTTGTTACAGCCATGTTCCTGTAAAAGCTACAGAGACGTCGCTGCTAGGGAAAACGTCTTTCCCAAAAAGGACAGAAAAAAAAGAATTACCCTTGTCATCAGTGCCTGTGATGTTTGCAGACGACAAAGGCCTTGCTTGAACATATTGAATCATTCACTAAATGGTCTAGAACTCTACGCACATGCAAAGATGCTCTCGCTGGAAGAAAGGTTACTTTTATGCAAGGGTAATACTGTGGCAATTCAAAGTGACTGCAACAATCGAATACTA